ACACACACACACACACACACGCACACACACACACACACACACACACACACGCACACACACACACACACACGCACAAACACACACACAGTGAGAGAAGTAACGACCATTCTCTCACACACATGCCACCAATTACAACAGCATTACCGACTAATTACGGAGATGACAAGACGGTGTGGGCGTGAGTGAACTGTGCCGCACGTCCCTACAGCTATACTCCCATCTCCCCTCCCGCACAGCCTGCGTGCTCACCACGAAATGCTACTGTTTTAGTTTTAATAAGAGTTTTACGGCACTGGCAACACAATAATGTCGTATAACTGCCGAAGAATAGGTGTGTTACAAGAGAGTAACATACACAAAAAGGAGGAGACATAAGAACGATAGATTACTACTTGGTTACTTAGTTGGAGAATAGGCATCAATTGCACACGGCACAATGCCATAGCTGCTCCTCCCCCCTCTCCTTTTATTTTTTTAGTAAGTGTTTTACGGCACTTGCAACACAATAATGTCATTTAAGTGAAGAAGAGTAGAGGTGTTACAAGAGATTAAACATGCACAAAAAAGGAGGAGAGATAATTAGGACGATAAAAGTGTGATAGGAAAGAAGGAGCAAACCACACCAGAGCACCCGCCCACCAGCCTGCGTGCTGACGATGAAATGCTACTGCTGCGAAAGACTCCACTTGCGTTTTTAGTTTACTTTAAGGAAGAGTTTTTTTTAAAACGTAATTAATGTAGGTTTTTTTACGCCACCATCGACACTATTTAGACCATTTAGGAGAAGATCACAGGGCCAATTCGTGGTGAGAGAAATGAAGCATCACACCGCAGAATGAGCGGGAGAATCGATAAAGATTAAACACACACACACACACACACACACACACACACACACACACACACACACACACATCAGAGCACCCCTCCAACCACCCACTCGACTTGGGTGAGTTGACATTTACTACCCGTTTGACAGTGAACATTCAGGGTATCAGGGTATAATGCTCCCCCCAAGCTCAAACACAAGACTTTGACTTCCTTCTCTGGCCCAGCTATGCTATGACTGAGTGACTGACACAGGGTCTCGAAACAGAAAAATATTTACAGTATTGACAGGACGCACTGTGCTCCAGTCCGTAAAGCAAATAAACCTGGCGTGGAGACGCGCTAAACAAACACCGTTTGCGCGGGTATTATTGAAGAGACGCGTAATATCGGCAGAAATAAAATGGATATTATATCATACAGTGTTAGGAAAGGATTAGGCGTCAGACGCTTAGGGAGCTAGGTAAAATAAACAACAAAGCAGGACGGGATGACACAAGACGCACCCTCTAACCACCAATTAAAAGCCAGTACAAACACCCCCAAAAAAAAACCCCAACAACAACAACAACATTGATACAAAACAGAAACAACAACACAAAGTCCCCACCACAAAACAGGTCAAACAGCCATATAGATGCTCTTTTTGTGTGTAGCTTTTGTAAGTGTATTACGGCACTGACAACACAAAAAGGTCATACAAGTGCCGAAGATTAGAGGTGTTACAAGAGAGTTCCAAACACGAAAAAGAAAAAGGGGAAATAAAGACGATAGATAGAAGAAGAAGCAAGTCACACCAGAGCACCCGCCAACCACCCACATAGATACAACACATTTATCTCCAAAGAACAAAACAATAAAGCTACTGTGCCCAGTTATTCAATACATCTTAAGGCAGAGGACAGACAAGCTGACAGGTTCGTTGTCCCCGCATTCCACAGACCAGGTGAGGCGGTGGTGGTTTGGCAGTACAACAGTCACGTGACTGCTTCAGTACAACATCCTAGTACATGTATGGTCGCCAAGTCGGACATACACACACGTCTATCGACTCGGCGCCAGGTGGTTGGGTTTATGCTGGATCTGCACATTTATACCTCAAACGGAAAAAAAATGGTATAGGACATTTCACACGTCATGACATGTAAGCGGCAGGGCGAAATGCCCCAGCGGGGATCTAGAATCCCCCCCCCTCCCCGCCCCTTTTCTCCCAAATTGATCGGCTTCAAGTACCGTTTACGCCATAGTTCGATCACTTTTAGTTCAGTTTAAGTGAAAGTTATGTGGTACTTGCAACACAATTAGATCATAATTATAGTGCCGAATATTTGAGGTGTTACTACAGAGAATATCATTGAACAGAGAGAGATAAAGAGAGAGAGAGAGAGAGAGAGAGAGAGAGAGAGAGAGAGAGAGAC